TCCTCTTGCCCCGACTCGAATTCATCCACCTCCATATTCCTTCCGCCAGAGCACCTTTAAACCAAATAGAAAAGCAAAAATGACACACACGCTCGAAAGCCCACACTCAACGCACACAAACTCCACCTAGTGAGGGTGAAAAAGAAACTTAACACTCACCTCTACTCCCGATGAAGGCAGTAGGGAAGTGTCACTACTCACACTCTCACCAATAAGAGAGAGAACCTAAAGGTTGCTAGATTAGCTACCTCCAGGAGTTGAGCAAAGTAATTCACAAACATCAATAGTAAAAAAGTTCTATTTATTGAGAATCTTACAATTACAAATTTTACACGAAATAAAATAAAAATCACGAGAATACAGCGTGATTGTCCTGTTGGTCAACACTCATGCGATCTAATTAAGATAACTACCCACATCGCGGGAGAGCATTGCACTGTCATGTATTGGATGAAAGTGAGCAACCTTAATCATCTATGATTTTATTGTTTGCCGTGCTCAACGTCTAATACCCCGATGAGATTAAGCCAGCTAGCCGAACACATTATTCCACCCCAGCAAACATGGAAAGCAACAATGCAACACGATCCACAATTGTTAAGCTGGATGCTGGGAAGTTGTCGTCAAGCCAGACGAGGATGATTTAAGTTGTTACCGTTCACAGCTACGTATCATGATCTGCAGAAATAATGTCATTAGATAAATCAGGCCCATTCAATTAGATAAATCAGAATCACGGGCATAGCATGCATATGCCGATGATTTGCAGAATCTTAACGAGAATCTCCATGTCCCTCGAGTCTTGACACAATGTTGTTTCACTAGCTAGAATCTAGCAAGTTGTTTCCAAGTCACACCTATTAAAAGCCAGTGCTTTATTATAAATATAAAAAGGAAAGTCAATACATGAAAAATGTTTTCTAAAAAAGTAAAAAATTTGCTAGAAAAAAAAGAGAGAGATACATGTGCATTTATGTTTTTATAGATAGATAACAATTTTTTTTTTTTTACTTGTCAAACATTGCACTGCCATGGTTGATATGGGAAACCCGAACCATGATGGCTTGGAGATTTCCAACTTCTGTAATATTTAAGCATTTTCCTAAAAAACAAATTGTTGGCTATGTAGTTATGCACTCTATCTATAAAAACATGAAAAAGCATTTGACATATATACTAATATACTGTTGTGTTGACTTCTATATACTTTTATTATGTATAGATTAAAGTTGACAATATACTTCTGTAATATTTAACATATAAATTGCACTTTAAAAAAAATTTTGATTTTTTCCCAAAATTGATAAATTTTTAAGCAAACTAGATTTCACCGAGTTATTATTTATCCCCTGAATATTATGAAAAAATTAATTATATCCAAGACACTATGTTCTGTGACTAAATAAGCTGGATAGAATAAAACAACGCAAGCATGCATTAGCAATTCTATTGTCAACTTTAATCTGTACACATATGAGAGAGAGAGGGAGAGAGAGCAAAAAAAATAAAAATAAAAATATATGTATATTGTCCGACTAATCATTTATAACAGTATAAAATCTATGACTTGTTAACATTTGGCTTTATCAAAGCATTTAATAAGGGTGTTGATAGGTTCGGTTTGGTTTGGTTTTGGACAAAAACCAAACCGAACCGAACCATTCGGTTTATTGATAATTGAGACCTAATCGGTTTTTATGAAGTTCGGTTTGGTTCGGTTTTATTTTCAGTTTGGTTTGGTTTGGTTAAGGTCTTGATCAAGTTTAATGCACTTATTTATTTTTTTTTTCTTTTCTCCATCTTCATAATGGTGCTATGTACTAAAATTAAATTTAATTCTTTTTGACTCCTTTTTTTTTCATAAATAGAGGTATAAAAATGTAATAAAATTTTAATGTGATAACAATAATTAATCATAAAAATTTATATAAGTTTTTAAGATTAAAATTATTTAATATTATGTATTTTTATTAAAATCCTTTGAAAATGTTTATCTATGTATCTATATTTTAATAAATAATAAAAAATTTATTATACAAAATTCAAAACAAAATGTTTCTTATAGATAAATTGAATGCTGAGGCTTTTAGGTTGCAAATAATTAAATGATGATCATAGCATGATTATTATAATTACTTAATATTATGCATTTTCATTCAAGTATTTTAAAAATGTTTATTTATTACTATAAAAAATTCAAAACAAAATTCTTCTTGTAGATAAATGGTTATATATTTTACAAATAAATAAATAGAATTTTTTAATCAAGTTTGGTTCGGTTTCTAGTACTCAAAACCGAACTTGAACCGAACCAATCGGTTTTTATATCATAAAAACCGAAGCAGACCTGATTGTTGTTCGGTTTTGATCGGTTTTTGTCGGTTTGGATTGGTTTGGATCGATCCTTTCGGTTTGGATCGGTTTTGAATACCCTTAGCATTTAACGTCATCAAATGCAAATCTCATCAAGACGGAAACATATACATTATTATTTCATCGCACGTATACGTTTTGACTCAATGGCCGAGTAAGGAGATACACTTTTATTTTTTATTTTATCATACATACACACTTGCCTCGTATGTTGAAATATTTATTTATTTATAGATTAATATTAATTAATAAGTTCAAATAGATTGATCTTTATGATTTTGTATGAACCGTAATAGGAGAACCACACAAGTGAGCCCAATAGACAGAGGCCCAACCCAGTAACCGTCAGCTATTCCCTATCTCTTAACTGATTGAGTCAGAGATAATAAAATATATAATTATTTATTATTTAATAAGGCGTTTATCGATCTAATTTATATAAAACAATTACTCGATAATTGCAAACACACGACTCATTTTCTTCCACCTAATTATCTCTGAACTCTCTGAAAGTTCTGGGGACCTGTGGGTTATGTACCTGTCTACACTCAAGGTAATCGAGATTTCTCAAGTACTCATTGATTGTTCAGGTACGCATACATTATTTTATTCTATCATATTCAATTATATATATGAATTGAAATATTTAATTTAACATCGTATTCTTTAATTGAAGACATCTTATTTGAGGTAGGGTCGTCGGATATTAACTGTAAACACTTCTTTTAATGAAAATTTAAATACTGATTTATCATACTCTAAGAAACTAACATTTTATCAAGCCTTAACTCTTGATATTCTTGTGTACTTTTTTTCATTACAAACTTGGTCGTGCATATATATATGAGTGTGAAAAACAAGTAGATCACCAATTAATTACATAAAAAGAGAAAAAGAAAGTTCAAAAATTAATTAATTAGAGAATTAACAATAATATAGTATGATAATCACACAATTTATGTCCAGCACTTGATATGATTGGGCTAGTATTTTTTTCAATCAGTCAATGGGCTTGTATGATGGGATGTATATATTACATTTTGTTATCTGCACAGCTACGAGCAGGTAACAAAAGATAGTAAGTAGATATGCATAAAATTGAACAGTGATTGAAGAAGCAGATATCTGAGGGGATGCGAAAATGCTATGCAAGTCAGGATTCTGAACAAATGATTGTGATCATGAGATGGAGCACTGGATGCTGCTCCTCCCGAAAGATGATGCATGTATCACGTGTGTATGTGTATATATGTATATTGTTTCTTAATTAATATCCTCCGACAGATCTGTTTTAGCCATGCTGCTTCACTCCCAAGTATGAATGCGTGAGACCCACCTTCACTCGCATATTATCAGTTATGATTAGCTTCTTTCACTAAAGCACTCTAATTAGAACCTGTATAATAATCGATAATGAACAAGTAATCAATATATTATCATATCAAAGCAGTCGACACTATTGTTTACCTATGTATCTTAATCTATATGCAATTCATATGAAAACACTAACACACCCAGTTATATGCAGAGACGGATCCATTGGGGGATGCAGGGGTGCTCCCCCCCTCCCCCCCCAATTTTTTTTAAACCTCCTTTGAAAATTCTGAATTTTTTTCATAAAAATTGATAAAATTGATTTTGGTCCCCCCATATTTCATATTATTTGAAAATTTGCCCCCATGTCCATCATTCTTGATCCGTCACTGCTCACACACACACAGACACACACACACGGTAATTGGGTACGTGACCTAGTTATTACTAGCTAAGAGGAATTGTTTTCTATTATAGAAACTATTTTTTAAATGACTAGATCAATTTAGAACATGCATTTCTCAGGCTTTAAAAAACATATCTGCAAATGAAAAATAGTGTTATCGTTAAAAAAACAAAAAATAATCATTCTTCAACTTGTTTTTTTCATTTAAAAATATCAGATGTCTTTTAAAAGAATAAATGTTTTTTTAATATTTTAAGATATTATTAATATATTTTTTATAAATTTTTTCAATACATCAATCACTTTATATTTATTTTAAAGTGAAACACTCATTAAATAAAAATATATATAAAAAATGATGTTAATTTGAATATAATTAATAAAATTAAAATTTAATTAAAAATATTTTATATTTTTTAAGAGGGAGTATCGTTTAATTTAATTTATTTTATGAAATACAAAAGCATGACATAGGATGAAAATAACTTTATTTTAACGAAAAAATGGGTGGTCCTTATTGCCTCCAAAGAATAGAGTAAAATAAGATAAAAAGTAAGCATGACTATTGGGTGGATGATTAAGGTTAAAAGAAACACCCACAAAGATGTCAATGTCATCAGCTGTCATCTGTATCAAGATTCAAGAGAATGGGACAAAAATTGAAACTTTTTAAATAGATGTCAGGGTCTAACCACTCCTGACCATTGAGTGTCGATGAGAGCAAGGACACTTTGGTACTTTGACACAGAAAATTGATAAATTTTAGATTTGCTTATATATAAATAAAAGGCAACTAGGATCCAGCAAACCACAACTAGCACAAAACAAAAGAATCTTTTTTTTTTTTTGGGCTCCTGTTTTTAAGAAAAAACTCGTTGACATTATTTTGTGTTGGAATCTGGCGAAGGTTTGGGTCTGGGTGTGTGGTTGGGTTTAGGTTGGAACACCGTCTTTCTATTTTTATCAACTAAAGCAGTGGTAATTCCGTACGAGACTTTCAGACAAGGCGGCATTCACTTCTCTGCTTTTCTTCTTTACGGAAGCCCCGTTGTGCTTGTAGTCTCAGACCTCTGTTTAAGGGGTATATTTTGATTAGGAGTGCGCGCGCTCGCTCGCGCGTGAGCATGACCACAATCTCTCATTCCATGCCATTTACTTCAAAGCTGCCCCAATTTTAGCGACTTTTCTAAACAAAGATTTCCTCATGTTTTCAGATTTTTGAAGTCGGTGCTACGATAGCTGTCATCAGCAGCATCCTCGCATTGTTATCTCTAGGGTTCGTGTAATTGGGGATTCTCAATTTCATTCTCTACAATTTCTCCCTTCTCTCCTACCGCAAAGAACGCTCGTCTTTTGGAGGACCACCCCTTCCCTGTCCATTACTCACCCTTAACTAATTCTTCATCGTTTGCTTCTTTTTATCTCACAGCATTTCCCGAATGGTCCTTGAAAGCTTCAGCCCTCTAACTCAGGTATTTATAACTTATAACCCTACTTTCACTCTCCTGGATTAAATTCTCCTCCGGGCATATGTTATCTTGTTTAGAACATATTTGTCCTCAGGTTCTTCTTGTATCCTGCCAATTCGGATCCGTAGCATTAAGATTGGGTGACTGGAGTGGCTAGATTGTCGACTTTCTAGTTGTTGGTTTTGGATTTTTTTCAATTCAGGATGTGCTGTGCTGGGTTTCTGATATATACTGTTTATTGTTGATTCCTTTTTGTGTCAGCCAACCTGCATACAGTACTTGCTTTTGATCTTTAGTGTCAGCCATTAAGGAATCAGTTTTCTCTCCCCTTTTTTCCTTTTTCCTTTTTTTCCCCAGCTGGGCTTGGGGGGTGATATTGTAGGTTGGCACTGCTTTATCATCATCACCATCATTTTTTATTGTGATTTTGCTTATGTTGAACTTGTTTGACTGTGAAGGTTATTGGTTTGTGTAGATGAAGATGAAGATGGATATGTGTAACAACTTCTAGCAAGCTGGTAAACGGGGAAAGAATGCCTTGCGCAACTTTTTACTTGAAGGATCTCTAGCATTGGCTGAATTTTGATTCCAATTTTTGAGCTTCAACCTAATCATGGAATACACTTCTCATAAGGGAAAGGACAGTGGGTACTGGAATTCTCCTCAAGCCCATTTGGAGGGACCAGCATCATTAGATGGTAGCACAAGAAATTCAATTTCGGAGGATATGCTCACCACCTTCTCTGAGCTCATAAATTTTGACACTTATGCTGGTTGGTGCAATAACTCATCAACCACAGATCAGGTTTTAGCTAATGGCTTTTCATCATATGCCTCGGTACCATGTGCGTCACTTGATGGATTCAATTTAATGGAGGAGAGTAGTGGATCGTTCTTGGCAAGTGATGTTAATAAGAATTACAATGTCACAAGAAGTTTCCCCAACTCTGGAGAGAAAGTAGCATTTCAGCAAATGGAGGCCCAACTTGAGTTCTCTGATGATGGAAATGATGCCAGGAATTTAAACTGTAAACAACGTTTTCATGAATCCTTTGAAGAACTTAGTAACTTAGCGATGGGCAATTATATAGTTTCTAGGCCACCTGGCTGGTCACTAGATGAGAGAATGCTGAGGGCTTTGTCCCTTTTCAAGGAATCTGCTGGCGGGGGAATCTTGGCACAAGTTTGGGTACCGAGAAAGCATGGAGATCAATTCATCTTAACCACAAGTGAGCAACCCTATTTGCTGGATCAAATGCTTGCGGGTTATCGTGAAGTGTCACGGACATTTACATTCTCGGCAGAAGGAAGGCCAGGCTCTGTCTTGGGACTTCCTGGTCGCGTCTTTATCTCTAAAGTTCCTGAGTGGACTTCCAATGTTGGTTACTACACAAAGGCTGAATATTTGAGGATTGAGCATGCTATTAATCATGAGGTTCGTGGATCAATTGCCATTCCAGTGTTTGATCTTTATTCTGAAATGCCATGCTGTGCTGTACTGGAGCTTGTCACTACAAAGGAAAAGACTGATTTTGATAGAGAACTGGAAATTGTTTGCCAAGCACTTCAGGTTGGTTTTCCTTTAATATTTTGGCACATGCTTCGATTTCTTCCCTTTGCCAGGATTCCTGCTTCTTTTGTAGAGTCTGATTGCAGTCGTCCTTGTATGTTAAGTAAGTCTTAACACAGGCCTATTTGTAGGGCACCTAAGATCTAAGAAGAGAAAATAAATAAAAAGTTAGGAAATATGTATAATTTAGAAAATACATAAAACCAAAATATTTCTAAGTTAGAGTTTCCTTTGTTTAGTGTAGGTTTTCCATAATTCCCTGTCACCTCGCTTAATATTCTCCCTATTCTTCATCATTCTCCCGTGGTCGGTGAAACGTTGAATTTTAAAGTGTAGAAACAGTAGACTAATTCACTCTGGAGCATTATTAGGTTGGACAGCCGGTACTACTTTAGACTATGATGATGACAACTTAAGGATCTTCAATAATTTTTCTAGAATAACATACTCCACTGGAGATACCAGTTTAGTTGATTGGATATGAAAGTGACCTGTAACTTGATGTTTGACTTTGGTTACCATTGAGAATCGTCATGAACCACGCATCCTACATGTGCTTTCTTCTGTTTTTCAAAATCTATGATGTTAGTATCGTCATTAATGTCTGATGGTCAATTGAAGGGTTCTGCTATGATATCAAGAGGTTCTATACGGTGATGGCTTCTTCTATTATGTCATAATCTTGAAGATGTTTTCTTTATTCTTACCTTGAACTCCTTTTAAATATTCAAAGTTTTTGCCTATGATTTGTCTACTGAGAAGATTAATAGCACTTATAATTTCCTCAAAATATAAGAAAGGAAAATAAAAAAAAAGTTAGAAAATTCATGAAGGCCAGAAAATACATAACATTGAAATATTTCTAAATTAGTGTTTCCTTTTCTGGGGATAAGTTTTCTGTAATTTGCCATCATTGATGTTCTTGTCTTATTCACCATCAGTTTTAATTGAATGTAATAAGAATAAATGCATTTTTTCTTTGACTTTCTGCAGGTTGTGAATTTAAGGACTGCTGTGACTCCCCGACTTCTTCCCCAGGTAGTTATTGACGTCTGAAAATTAGGATGCATTGATTTTCCCCTGCATTATTGAAAGGGGAAAAAGAAACAAGCAAAGTTTTAAGTAATATAACTTAGCTGTTTTTGCAAGGTGGTTCTGGATTTTTGCATGTCTTACAATTTGGTTTCTTTTTCTGCAGAGTCTCTCAAATAACAAAAGAGCAGCTTTAATGGAGATAATTGATGTGTTACGGGCTGTGTGTCATGCACATAGTATGCCTCTGGCATTGACATGGATTCCGTGTTGTTACTTGAAGGGAATTGGCAATGAAACTGTGAGAGTACGAATTAAGGAGGGTCATTCAAGTTTTAGTGATAAGTGTGTATTATGCATTGAAGAATCAGCTTGCTATGTTAATGATAGATTGATGGAAGGATTTATTCATGCATGTATTGAGCATCATCTTGAGGAAGGGCAAGGTACAGCTGGCAAAGCTATCATGTCAAATCAGCCATTCTTCTATCCTGATGTCAAGGCATATGATGTTGGTGAATATCCACTTGTTCAACATGCACGCAAATACAATTTGAATGCTGCGGTTGCTATAAGGCTAAGGAGTACCTTCACTAATGATGACGATTACATTTTAGAATTTTTTCTACCTGTCAATATGAGAGGGAGTTCAGAGCAGCAACTTTTATTGGACAACCTCTCGGGTACCATGCAGAGAATTTGTAAGAGTTTAAGGACTGTTACTGATGCTGAATTATCAGGAACATCAGGGTCACTGGTAAATCTTCAAAATGAAAAAGTACGAGATCTTTTGCCTTTGTCTAGGAGAAACACTCAAATAGAATTAATGGATGGTGACAAGGACTCAGTCAGTAAGATTTCATCGAAGGATTGCAACTTGAGAAACAATGGAATTGAAGCTGCTTATAACCAGGTATCATTTGGTTTCAACCACTATTCACTGTTCCTAACTATTAAGCCTGTTATCTAGCTAGGTTCCAGATAGCATGCTTATGTTGACGTGCAAGTTTATGAATAACTTTGGAGAAATGAATGATTGCCACATGTATGTTAAACTTATAAGCATTTTGCAAGTTCTCCATATACTTCAAATCAGTACTGGCCAGCTAGGACATATTGCTTGATGAAGAAGTTGGAAACTATTTGATTCTTTACCTCAAGGATAGTTAAGAAGTATTGCAAGAGTTACCTAGCCCTTCTCTTCTATCTAAAGATGCATTTGCTATATGTACTGGTATTGAACTTTGCTTGTAGTTGGTTTTATGAGCTTGTGATTCTTATTGTCCTTGGAGATTGAACTTCAACAAATGGCAGTATCTTGTCTTGTAGGAAATGAATGGGTCAAAAAGGCAGATTGAGAAAAAGAGAAGCATGGGTGAGAAGAATGTCAGTTTGAGTGTTCTCCAGCAATACTTTTCTGGTAGTCTGAAGGATGCTGCGAAGAGCATTGGTGGTGAGACTAAGAAATAATGTGATTTTTGCTAATTTTTGTCAACTGATTGACCTGGCTTATTTATTTGGGTTATAATGATGGATATTTATCTTTAGTCTGATCTGTGGATGCCAAGGCTATAATTATATCGCTTGATCTTAACCATAAATGAGAATGCATAATTTTGCGTTCTGAAAGCCATCCTGGATTTTCCCCCATTAACGCTACTAGGGAAAATAATAAATGCAATTTTTATTGTGGAATTGTTTACATACACTGATTGCATGTTACGCCTCTGTAATTAAACTGTATTCAGTGGTCAAATTTAGAGAAAAGATGCATTCTACATAGCGAGATATGCAGAATGTGTCTGACTTAAGTGAGCTCATTAGCATCCCTGCGGATGTCTAAGCATTTAAATTTGTAATGTATCCTTCGTTTTATTTTTGGTCTACAGATGTTGGATATTTCTGAATGGAACCTGTTAATATATTAAGACAAGCTCGTTGAGAAATTTGCTTCTTTGTGCAGTCTGTCCTACAACTCTGAAAAGGATATGCAGGCAGCATGGCATTTCGAGATGGCCATCCCGTAAAATAAATAAAGTGAATCGTTCATTAAAGAAAATCCAGACCGTGCTTGATTCTGTTCAGGGGGTGGAAGGTGGGCTAAAGTTCGACCCGTCTACTGGGGGGTTTGTGGCGGGGGGTTCAATCATTCAAGAATTTGATGCACATGGTCGTCTTTTGTTCTCTGAGAAGAGTATGCCCGTACAAGATGCTGAGCGTGTTACAAAATGTACAGTCTCAGTGCCTACAGTACATTGCAGTGAAGGGGAGAGTTCAGCAATTAAGTTGGAAGATAATGATGTTTATTTGTCTGATAACCAGCTTGTGTGCTCACAAGGTGTTATTATCCCAAATTCTGGCGAGGGAGACTTGAAGAAAGCCAATGCTTCTGTTGTTAGTTGTAGTCAATATTCAAAATCAATGGCCTTGGATGGTGGATCATGCCGGATGGTCAAGGCTCAGGGTCATCCTGTGCAAGCACCCTTTTCAGTTGCTGCAAAAGATGGAAACGCATGGGGTCTGAACAGGGATAGTCGGGGAGCAAAAAATTCTGGTCCTGATATTGTCTCTTGGAGTTCAAGCTCTCTGGTTGCTGATGAGACGGAAAATGTTGTGGATGGGGACAACGGGATTGTTGAACACGGCCAACGTACTTCTTATAACGTGACAGACTCGTCCAATGGCTCTGGTTCAATGATCCATGGCAGTTCGTCTGGTGCCCTAAGCTTTGAGAATCAGAAGCATTCCAAAGTCAAATCAACGTTTGTTGACAGTGGATTAAAAATTATTGTGAAAGCCACCTATAAAGATGATACTATACGTTTCAAGTTTGACCCATCTGCAGGTTGTCTCCAACTATACGAAGAAGTAGCAACAAGATTCAAATTATCAAGCGGGTCATTCCAGCTTAAATATCTAGATGATGAAGAGGAATGGGTGATGTTGGTAAATGACTCAGATTTGCAAGAGTGCGTGGAAATATCGGAAGATATGGGCACACGTAGTGTGAAGTTTCTTGTTCGTGATACGCCTTGCTTGTTAAGCAGCTCTGGCAGTAGCAATTGCTTCTTGGGAGACTCCTAGCATGTATGGTTATGTGACTTCAATGTGATCATTGAAGTCCTGCTTTAACAAATGGTTGGGTCTACGATTTTACCAATTTCAGTAGTAGAGCTGCATGCAAGCTGGTTCGTAGAAGTAACGTACGGCCTAGAGTCCTGTGCCAGATGCAAAGCTTCTTATCTTCCACAGTCCTTCTAGTGCAACCAACTTTGCTGCTTCCTCAGTGGCTGCTTGGAAGATTGAATAATAGGAATTCGAGTCAAACGGAAGCACATAGCTTGTTACCATGTAGATTTGTATATGTTAGAAGCAGAATAGAAATTAGAAGTTGTAGGCAAGATTGAGGCATATCACTACGATGCCTTGATCTCATTTTGTGTGTACATATGGTATAATTGAAGAAACTAAGGGGAGAAGAAAAGATGTATAGGTTTCGCTCTGTTACTCTTTAAAATGGACGGCAGTGTCAAGGAATTATAATGAAACAGGAAACAAGGTTAAACCATAATAACCTCTAAAACGTCAAATGTTCAAGAGCCAGGCAAAATCAGAGTTAGAAAAACTGTAAAATTGGGCTTACTGATGATCTATATACCAACTATGAAAACTTGCTCAACCCCCAATCCGAAATGCCGAGCAGGGTCTTAAATCGAGATGGAATCGAAAGTGTTTTGATTCTCGTTAAGAATGGAGAGGGCGGTGACAAATCAAACTGACGTCGTATGACCTAAAAAAATTCGATGCAAGTTATAGGGCAGTGTAGTTAGGTCTAGAAATACGGAAACTTGCGGTACATGACCGAACACTTTGTTTGTTAAATTAGAAAAGGTGTGTTTGTTTGTTTTTTTTGTTTGGGGGGGGGGGGTGGGGAAGAGTGGGGACGTCTAAGAATTTATGCACGTAAAAATTAGTCGAAGGTGGCACGGAGAATTCGACGTTGCCTGATTGACAGTTGACTTGATTAAAAGGTCGCAAAGAGTGACAGCCTAACAGTAGACAGGAGAAACGCATTGATGGGAAGGTTCTTGGCGGTTGGCGCCTCCGAATTACCCCACGATGTCTAAAACATTGCGGCGCGTTCATGACAATTGATGAATGTGTAAATATAAAAATTACACACAGAGGGACAAAGTTTTGATGAGATGAAACCATTTCTAAAGAGCGAGAGTATAGCAGTCGCTAGCGAAGCAGGCTGGGAGGAAGACAGTCGTCTCATTGTTACGCTGTTTGCCTGTTATTCCCATGGAATCGAAGCCCCGATCCTCAGGTTCGTGTTCCCATTTTCGATCTTCTTCTATTCATCGTCTTTTTATCATCTGTGTTGCCTCTTTTTCTGGCTCAATAATCCCTTTAGCTTCCGCCTGGACTCTAGTTGCATTCTGAATAATTTTGACCCTCGATTCTTCAATTCACCACCCCCTGTCATCTTGTAAATTGATTTGTGTGTTGCAGCTAGTCCTCCACCAAAGCCATGGGAACGCGCGGGTTCGTCAACTAGCCCAGCACCTTTAAGACCACCATCAGCTGGCATCAAAAGTGATGTAGCAGAGGCTTCGGGGACGGACAGCAAAACACGGGGAAATAGCTTCTACTTCTGATAAGAATGCAACTGCCAAAAGGGAATACTGTTGGAAGGCCTGGGGAGCAGAACTATGGAAGCAGCGGCTATGGCGGTAATTTTTGTATCTTCATTCTTCACGGTCCTATTTATCCCTCATTGAACACCCCACCTTTCCACCTTACCTGGTTCTACCATGAATTGTGGTGGATTAGAAGGGTTGTACGGTAACAGTTTGTACAGGAAAGGGTATGGTGGACTTCATGGATCATCTGGAATGCAGAATAGCTGCTTTGGTGGCTATGCTATGGCTAGTCCTTGTGGACCTCAAGATGCCAATGATCCCTATGGCTGGCCTCTTTCTCCGCCGGGGTTTTGGATTTCTGTCTCACGTGTGGTAGGCTATCTTATGCCTGGGCTAATTTAAATTTCTCCTGTACGGGTGAATACGCAAATTGACGATTTTATAATTAAAATAATCGGTATCCTTCCTTCCCGTCTAGGATTTAGATCAAATTTAAGTTTATTTGCTCAGACATGATGCTTAGTTGAATTTACTATGGTTAAACTATAATCCTTCTTGTCTCCGTATGCTGTTGTGCCAATAGAGTCCCAGTCTCATGTTGCACTCAAGGAATTGGTTAGGAATGCTGGTGTGGGGAACCATGTGAGACGATGCAACAAAAGCTTAGTTTTGGACTTGGTCAGGCTTATATAGAGCCGGTAATTCGGACTAAGCCCGATGGGCTAGCCCAAATTGGGTCGAAAAATTTTAAAATCGGGCTTAAAAAAAGAATATTTTTTTATGTTTGAGCCTATTTGGGCCGACCCGAATAGGCCTGAAAAAATTCAGGCCAAGCCTGATTGGGTTCGAGCTTGACCCGAATACTCGAATAAAAAAATTAAATTTTTAAAAAATATATAAAATATAATAAATATTAATTAATTCTTTAAATTTTAGATCATTTTATATTAAAATACCATATATTTAAATCCTAGACATTGTTTAAGTATTAAAAAAATATATTATATATTTTTTATAAAATAAAATAATTAATTTTAAAATAAAAAAATAATTAAAAATAATTTTAAAAATTAAATTCGAGTATTCGAGCCATCTGAAGGAATTCGGGCTGAGCTTAGCTATTCGAGCTTTTTAAAAACACGAGCCTGTTCAGATTCGGGCCTATTCGAACCTGCCCGAATTCCCAGCTCTAGGCTTATAGCAACAACAACAACAAGCCTTTATCCCACTAGGTGGGGTCGGCTACATGGATTGCAAGACGCCATTGTGCTCTATCATTTATTAAGCTTTTAGAAATATTATTAATTAAGAGATCACGTTCAACAACTTCCAAGAGTGTTCTCTTAGGCCTTCCTCTACCTCTAGGCTTATAGCACTGATGGAAAATCTGTGTTTACTGCTGAGTTTGTCCACTGTATTACTCTCTCAGTAGCACATATCCTTCACTTGCTTCCTTTTTTCCTCTGTGATAACTTAAAACAAAGATGGTTTTATGATATTCGTTGCTGGAAACTTGCATCATGTTTGCCGCAATTGGCAGATGCAGGGTGCGGTGAACTTTTTTGGTCGGATATCAATTCTCATAGATCAGAACACAGGCCTTCCAAATGTTCATGACTGCTCTTCTTCAGTTTGTGTTCATCCCTTAGTTTGTATCGCGATTGCTGGGGATTAGAACAAAGACCAAGAGGATGATTCCAGGACCCGGACCCCAACTTGGCCCAGTAAACATGGAGGAAGCGAAGGCTTCTCCGACCGGTTCTTGGAACAACGTTTATGAGAGCTACGCTTGTCGATGAGTATCGAGCCTAGAATCCTGTGATTTTTCTCGATTTCACTGGCGAATTCATATTTTGGTTTCCCTAGAATTTTATGAACATGAATATATGCATTCTCAACGTAATCTCTGCAAAACTTGAGATTGAGATTGAAATGGGTTTTATGCACCGTAAAGCACATCATCTTGGCAAAAGCTAAAATGTCAGAATTTCCATCTGAGTTACAGTAACCCATCCCAATCCTTCAGGCTGGAATATCTTGACGAAAACACTCAAAGTCAATTGCCCCAACTCAGCATCATCACGGCAGCTTTTTTCAGGATATGAGCCGCAGCTACACAAATACAAGCAGCAAACGCACAAGACATCCAGAAGTAGACGAATTAAAGATGGGTGAAAGGCCCCCCCCAAAAAAAAAAGGGCAGAACCGGGTTGGGGCATGCTATACATACGTAGAGGCCATTAAAAATATACATGCAAAATACACACCAACAAATTTAAAAAAAAGGCCTCCTCCCAACTCAACCAGCTCAATCCTAAAATCTCTAGTGCAGTAACGCACTAAATATGAAAAATGAAAAAATAAATTTGAGATACTCCAATCCCCCAGAATTACAGCCTGCAAAACGAATAATAATTACAACGTTAATTTCGCTGAGCGACCATATTGTGAGACAGACAGATAAATTAGGGCACACAGCAAAAAACTAATAATTAAATTAGTTTATGGAGATATTATACTTGTATATATAAATATATATATATATATATATTCCAACTATCAACACAGGCTTGAATTGCCTCTTCATAAAAAATGAAATGCACAAGGAAATAGCACTCACCCATATTTTTTAAAGTCTGCGAAGTCGGTAGTGCTGGTAATGACATCTCTGAAAAACTCAAAACAGGCTAAGTGTAAGCAACAAACGGAATATAAAATATCCAGGATCTAAGAAATAACCGGAATGAAACTGATTCAATATGTTCATGTACCCGGTGCACAAAGGGACACAGATGTGATTGAAGATGATGAAGGCCAGGGTGCAGCAATGTTGTCACTCAAGTCGCAAGTAAAGCTAAAGCCTGTCGAGTTATCAAACACCACATCTGCAGGCAGGCTCCGAAGGAGGCATCCTGAACGAACAATATCATCAATTATTCAAACAGTAAATATCATTTCCTCCACAAAGAGCATGGTCTTTACTTTTTTGTGTTAGTATGGTTAAAGGAACACTTCCATTGCTATCCAATAGAATATAACAGTAAAATCCATCCGTAAAAGCAAATCAACCCAGGAAGTTGTCTCATATCAGCATGATAGCAGTTTCAACCAACAAAGCCTAATCCATCAATCTTGTTGTGAGGAAGGGAACAATTCCAAATTCCATGACCCAAAACCCATTTTCCATGATACCTTGACCCAATTCAAGCAAAAAGATTACACCCCAAATTCCCAAGTACATGCTGCCAACTCCACATATTTTATTGAATCAATATGTAATGCATGTTGCAATAAATGTAATATCATTTAACTGATTATAGAGTAGAAGTAACAAACCTTGTTGTCCATATGCTGTTCCAGCCCCAAGCAGATGCACAACAGGAGAGAACTAAATCAGATAAACTGATAGTAATAGGCAAAAAATAACAAATCAAACGCAGCAGGATAAGTACCTTGTATGCTGAAATCTTTCAAGTCTACATCACAAAGTTCATAAATATTTGTCAGTATGCCACCTCTACGTAACATAGATCCAAAAAGTGTAGCACAGATGATAGCTTGTTTATTTGTAATTAACATTTGCTTTTGTATCCCTGCAATATAAATGTTTAATGAACTGCAGCAGGAAGGGCTAGGTGCAGCAACATTCCGACAAGCATTAATTACTTCTGAAGGCTCCTTGAAAGTCAAAGGGCAAACTGCAAAGCAAAATATTCAGTTCATAAAAAGAGTAAAGACAAGAAAATGGGGAAACAACAGACGCAGCAGCAACAGAAGAGGAAGAAGAATAGAAACACAAAATAGTAATTCAAGTCCAACAGAGATGTAAATTCTAGGTAGATGTCAAGATTTTTCTTTTGTACACTACCTCAAATTCTACATTGTTCTAGTTAGAATAATTAAATTGATTGAAATGGCACAGTGGAAATTTAATATTATTTGAAGCCTTTCAATAAGACATGCTTTTCTAGAGCAAGAGGACCCTTGTTTGTCCATAGTGAAGAAACAGAGATTTCATTTGTTTCCCAATGTGGTATAACCTAAATTTTTCTTCCAGGAAATATACTTAAATTTAGCTCCAAATTTAAATAATACAAAACAAAAAGCCAGGGCAATAAACTAAACCCTCTAGAAATACTTGAATGAAGAGAAAAGTACAAGTCAATGAAAAATAAAGTTATTTTCAAAAGATGGAAAACCCTGAACCCCAGAGATGTTTTCAAAACAAGATATAAGGACAAATTCTTCAAAGTACAAATATGCTATTGTCAAAACAATATAATTTCATACCTTTGTTGACTTTACATGCAGATAGTATTCGAAATGCAGTGTTTGCAGCCTCTGACAAGAGTTTTCTTGAAACATAAGAATAAACCACTTCTTTACAATCATTAAGATAATTGATGTGATTCACTTCCCCGCCCAAATTTTTATTATTGTTGATCATCAATTCTCTTCCTGAAATCTGAAGGGCTGCGTCCATTATTGCAGGCTGACAAATAGGTCTACAACACTCTTTGAGTGGATCAACAGCGCTGCAAGCCTCAAGTAATTTACTCGTGTTAACCGTTTTCTCAAAAGCGGAAAGATCCTTCACAGGACAGGACCCACCTGTAAGATTAGATGATTTTATGGAGCAAAGTGTAGAGATTGTACTGTTCGCTCCTCTACTGGCTAAGATACTAATGATATCAGAAAAACAATGATCAGCAACTGTACTCGAAAGAACCAACTTATCAGAGCTCATGCTGAAGAAACCTTGGAAGATGTGGATTAAACTGGTAAACTGTGGACAACATATTACATTCCCTACAAGGGCTGCCAAAGGTCCAGCACAATCAGATGCTGTTTTATCTAAGATATTTGACATATCTGAAAAATTTACTGGGCATTTCCCAGTTAAAACTGGTTCATATCTGGTAGGGAAAGTAGGATACATTGGTGGCGAAGGTTTTGTGGGATTAGGATATTGTGGTATGACAGCAGGTGATATTTCTATGGGATCAAATAGCCCAACAGTAGGTGCCTTGGCTAACTCTACCATTGAAGAAATACGACTAGAGTCAACTTGTTTTTGTTGTGCCATTACATCTTGGTAAGCAGGTAGCCAGATGATCAGAAAAAGTAGTTGAAAGCACAAAGAACCTGCAATATGCAACATCATCAGCCTTTGGCATCAGAAAGTTACAGATCAAACAAATGCTACTAATGAACAAGTATTAGCCATAAAGTGCATAACACTGCACCATGTTATACATAGAAACAAAGGAGAGACAGAACCCAGCTATGTACTTTAAATGCCTATCAATGTATCTTGATCAAACTAATACATAAAACATGAATAGAAATTAAGTTAATACGTATGAACACTAGAACACTAAAGCAATGACCCATATTAACTTGAATGATTTTAACAAAAGATAAGCTTACACAATTTTACAATCTGTGTAACTTAAGAAAACTTAAAATAGAAGATAAATGATGCGGCAGCAAGGCAGCATCCATCAATTATCCTAACTCTTACCTTTAAAACATTTAGCATCCTGAAATAAGCCCATAACTCCACTATCCCTCAGGTACCATTGAGTTTTAAAGAGGACAACCCTGTGGTTACTGGTTATACACTAAAAAGAGGCAGATGGCAACGCTGCAAATTCAGTAACACCTGCAATATTGAGGTCCACAACCAAAAGGAAGCATAGATAATGGGTCAGTCTATTGATACGTAAAGGAGTAAAGACATAAGCAAGAAGGTTGCTCGTCACCACTTAATTCACCAACACAGATACACAACTTAAGGCCAAAAAGAGGATGTGCAGCTACCTTTGACTAAGTCAAATTGAACAAGTTCCCCAATTATAATGTTTGAAATAAATTAGGCAAATAAGTTTTCTGGGCTCTTCTCTTGAGGCAAGGTTAAATTAGAATGGCAGTTTCAGAGGGGAGAATGCCAATCTCAACTGAGCATTGAGGATGCATCATAAACAAAACAAAAATTTAATGCGAAGGGCAGATTTTTTTTTTCTTTCCTGAGCCCGCCATTTCGTCACTTGATTTCCTTTAACACGATAATAGGATTTTTATAAGTTCAATCAAAATAAAACACACAAATCAACAGAACCAGTTCGAAGACAAATGCTTTGCTCTTCTTCCGTTGGTCACAAACAGAGGCATCCATCCTCTCCCATAAACTTCACCAAGCTGTTGTCACTGAGAGTTGAACCTAGTAACAACAATGTTCAAACTCAACCCAGGCAAAACCTTGGGAATAATTCTCCGTCAAATATTTAACCCTAGAAGATACAAATACTTTTTTGGAGATTTGGTTCCAGGTCATGACTTATTCTACGTTTATACAATATAATAAAGGCTATATAGAGAGGCATTATAATGCCATATGTCGAACTTAAAACAAGAATGCAACGAACTTCACTTTTCCTCTTTGAACAGACACCGATGATACCTGTTGCAGTGAAGGGAGATTCATGATTTGTAGACCATAGGCTTTATTTCTTAGATAAAAGGCCCAAAAAAACACTAGAGAAAAAGCTTGGAAGAAAATTATCGCCGCTCAAGGTTTATTATAAAAAACTTTCAAAACACATTAAAAATACAAAAGATCTTAAGTACAGGAAGAAAGGAAAATGAAGATCATCCGCGTCAAATCCACGAAACAATTAAAACACTACCAAGTTATCATTTACCTTCCTCCCATTTTTTTAGAGGGCTTTCCCTTCTTAACTCTTAAAAAGCCCAGAAATTTACCATAAATGGAAGCATGGGATCTTCCACAAAATAAATGCAAGATCAAAGGAGCGCAAAAACTTCATTTGCTTGTAACTGCCAAGCTTAAGATAAAGAATGAACAAAAGCAAACGAATGAACCAGCTCCTAATTGAGCCGATGCAATTTTAAAAGCAGTCCAGAAAACTCAGTTCGGAGAAGATATGACAACAAATAACTTACTTAAGAGAGTACCAAGACCATAGAAGCTGCAGGGCGACTCACGAGGCGGGAGCGGGAGGGGAGACAGAGATGTAGAGGAGGCTGAAAAGGTGTTCAGTTGTTCAGAGCGAGAGAGAGAAGAGTCATTGTGCGGTAAATGCAGAACTTATCTTCACCGTCAAATGAAAGCAGATATATCAATTTGATTTTGCCACGTTGACAATCAGATGTAAGATTTTCCAACAGCAAATGACAACATTGTGGGCTTGGGCTGAGATACTTTATGAGCCTAACTGAGCCCATGAGATGGAGGAATTGTCATGATCTCATATCGGAGCTAGGGTGAGCACTGGAATCATGGGGATTGCTATGGAAGCTTGAACGTTGTCCACAGCCATCTCTGCGTCTCTTGATCTATTCTTTCACCGCTACTATGCAAAATATTCAGCGTTTAATATCTCGTCTTTCTACATCAACCCCAAGAGTATTCCGATCTCACAATCGTTATGAAGCTCCTCAATACATGATTTCCAGAAGCTTCTCGACCGATTCTGGAGTCGGTGATGACCAAAAAGACAAGGGATTAGGATCATCCCTGACTGGCATCGATGGTATGGAATGGGACTCCGTGTCGTCATGGTCCACTGGGTTGACACAGCAGCATTTCGATGGCCAAGTTGATGGACAAGCTTCAGTACTTTCCAATTTGCAAGAGATAGAGGATAAGTTGAAAGAACTGGAGGGTGAAAATAAAAAGAGTCGGACATTTGTGGATGGATGGGATGAAAGGATGCGTGAAATAAGCGTATTGCTGAAGCAAGTGCAAGAGCCCGGTGCTAGAGGATCTTATCTAAAGGACTCCGAGAAAGCTGAGATATATCGCTTGCACAAGCAAAACCCCGAGATTTACACTATTGAGAGGCTTGCCAAAGATTACAGAATTATGAGGCAGAGAGTCCACGCTATTCTATGGCTGAAGGAGCTTGAGGAAGAAGAGGAGAAAAAACTAGGCCATCCCCTTGACGATTCTGTTGAGGTTCTGCTTGACACTTGTCCTGAGTAAGTTTTTGTGTTGTCTATTTGTTCCATTGATTGCCTTGGTTAAGCGGATTGTACAACAATTTGACCTTACTTTTATAGCATTGTTGGGACCATTCTTCCTCTCCTTTTCTTCCCTGTTCTATGAACGTTGATCACTGAGGAAAAGAAATCTTCCTCAGGAAGAGAGCCGCATAAATGCCTTTTTTTTTTTTATTGTTGTTCAAAATTTTTTATAACTGGATGGACCCAGCTTAGTTACAAATAAACTTTCAAATTTATATGAATCTTCTTCCTCCATGATGATAGAAGGAAGCGCTCCCTGCGCTAATGTCTATTCACGTTACGTTGTTGTCTTCCTTGTACAGTTATTTTTTTATTCTTTTGTTGCTCGGTGAAATTGACTGGAGAGGAATCACTAAATAACCTGACTTTGCAGTTTTCTTTACTAGTTATCTCCTTGACCAACTCGTAATTATTTCTTATGCACCCCCTATATATGTTATTCAACTAGATTATCTGCCATGTAATGGCTTCCGTTTCTTATGTATTTACATTGATCAAGGTGTCTTTTGCTTTATATTATTGTCAACAAAGGTGTTTGTTTCCGGTTTGTTAAGAGTGTAGAATAGGCTCATGAATTATGGAAAAAAGAAAGAAGAAAAAGACTTGTAAATTGTGCATTCTCCCACGCCTCCTACAATCACCTTCCCCATCCTTCTCTTCTATGTATATTTCTAATACAATAGCAGTTATTAGCAGATCTCTGTGTTGTTAGCTGGGTTAAGGTTTCCTTTAAAAACCATTCATGTATTAATGTTGTTGTTGATGGGCTATTTAGATTGTATTGACCATGCGCTAAAATGTTGCCGAAATTTTAATCGTTGCTTTCATCCCAATTGATTCATGCATGTGACTCAGTTGGGTTAAACATTATAGATATCTGCGTATAAATTGTGAATTTGGACTTGGTGCTAGCTATGGACATTAGACGATTCAATTGTTTTAGGGATATGGTGAAGAGCTTATTTATTTTATTTTTGTCTTGATATTTTTCTTGGCAGATTTTTCATTTCACATGACAGGGAGTTTCACGTTGCATCGCTTCCTTACAAACCTGACTTTAAGGTTATGCCTGAGGGTTGGGATGGTATCACCAAAGATTTGGATGAAGTCCATTATGAAATCTCCCAAAAGGAAGACGAGATGCTTTATCAAGAATTTGTTCAAAAGATGAATTTCAACAAAAAGAAAGTAAGTTCCTTGGGCCATAACCTTATGTTTCTCAATGGAGAGAGTGCTAATGTTTAAACATATTCTGTAGCTGATAATTTATTATTTGTCTTTTTTGTGGGTCTTAAATTTCTGAGGCAGAGAGAAGCCAACATTGTCATATTTCGTTTTTTGTGGTACGAGAGGTGAAATTGGGCATATACATAATAGAAATTAAATGAGGATAGTATTTGCTGGTAGGACTTGTGGTATTATCTTTGACTACAGATGCCCCTCAAAGTGATGAGTGTTGATGCTAATTATTAATCAGTTGCCTGATAGGTTACTGTAATTCAAAGCCTCTAACAGCATGTCAGACGCTGGTGCTTATAATTTGTTATTTTTTCAAACTATATATGAATGTCTTGACTGCACATGTCGTATTAGAAGAAATAATAGAACACACTAAATTAATGATTTAGTTTCTAAAAGCGTCGACTCCCATTCATGTCACGTGTCAGAGTGTTTAGTGACCTTGACATTGCTTAATGGGGCCATTTTGATCAGAGGAAAATGTTAGGGAAATTAAATTGAAAGGTTTTTTTTTTTTTTTTTTTGGAGAATTATGGTGAAAGGGGAGTCATCTTTCAAGGACTAAATTTTGCTACTCTGACAAAACTTGAGTATTGAAGTATAGTAGTTTAATGAAACAATATGTGGTTGTTGGCTGTTTGGATGACTACGGCACACCACATGCCTGATTAACATATCTTTTTTTTTTTTTTTGAGCCAAAGCCTGATTAACATATCTTTTCAGTAAGTTTTAATCATCTAAAGGGAAAATTGTGGGTTGGAGGACTTGGTAAATTTGTAATTGGTAGATTTATTAGATGTCCTCGGCTAAGCATGTAACATTTTCAAAGAAATAAAGTATGACAAAATATTTTATGGATCATGAGAGATGCCGATGGCTTCTTTTCTACAAGAATGTTTTCCGCTCTAAAGGATTTATTAATTATTGGTCTCTCGTTTTTATATGCTTCATGGTCCAATTATTTTTGGGCTTGTCTTGTACAGTAATTTTGCCTAGAAATTTAATCTTTAGTGTCATTTAATTTCCTTTTCGTTTGTTTGGGGGGGGGGGGGGATAATTAGTTTTACCCTTTCGTTTGTTGATTATAATATACATCTATAATGCCTTTCTTCTGCTAATCAGATTGTTTTTTTTTTTTTTGCTGAATTCAATGAATAATGTGGTTTTTATTTCATTTAGATGGCTGGGGAGGTGAAATGCCACAAGTATAGTCGGCGTCGCCCTTCTAATGGATGGACATTTACGGTGGAGAAATTAGGACCGCGAGGGAAGCGTGGCGGCGGTGGAGGCTGGAAATTTGCTAGCTTGCCTGATGGATCCAGTCGACCGCTGAATGAGATGGAGAAAATGTATGTGAAAAGAGAGACCCCGCGCCGGCGACGCAGGATACTTCCCTAGCTACTTGATGATTATGTTTTGAACTGTTGATTAGATGTTAAGAATAGAAGATTCAACATTCCTAGTAATGTATGAATTCAATCGCTTCAAACATTTTTTTTTTTATCACATATCTTCCTTTTATAGTCCAGAAAGTGCCATCTTGCGCGTGGGGTGCTTGGGAGTTCTTACCTTGTCAAGTCCTCTTTTTTTCTTGGGGTAATGCAATTCGAGGTTTAAGCAGTGTTTGGGACTCGGTTGGAGGTTTTATTTTTATATTTGAAAAATTAGGGTCTATTTAGCAACTTTTTTTAAAAACAGTTTTCAGTTCTTTTAAAAAAAATTATTTAATAATGTACTTTTAAAAAGTATTTTAAGAATAAAAAATAAAATATTATTTAGGAGAATAAAAAAATAAAAATAACTTTTAAGTATTTTGACATTATTGTTTTGAAAAATAAAGAATAATAAGAAAAACACTTGTTTTTATTACTTTTTTCCTTCAAAAATATTTTACAAAATATTAATTTTTTAAAAAATAAAATAAAAATAATTTTAAATAAATCCTTAATTATTTAGTCTATATAATTTTGATTCAGTTATAATTTAATTTTTAATTTTTAACTCGTTATAATTTAGTTCTTACACTTTTAATTTAATTGTGACTTAGCTTTTGAATTTTTTTTTTTGCAATTTAGTCTTTATAGTTTAATCATTTAAATATTAATTCTTATATTTTAAAAAATAAAATTATAAAAATTTAAATATTTTGAACCTTTAATAGTTATAAAAACTAAAAGGATTTAATAATTTAAAATATTAATAATAAATTTTAACATAATTCAAAATATTATAATTTTAATCTTTAAATATTATAAATATATAATATTAAATGTTCAAAATATTATTAATTTTTGTAATTTTATTTTTTAAAATATAGAAAATAAATTGTAAAAGGTAAAGTTTAGAGATTGAATTATAATCAAGTTAAAAATTAATGTTTGAATTACAAGAAGTTAAATTTTAAAAACTAAATTACAATTAGGTTAAAACTACATAAATTAAATGATTAATTTTTTCTTTATATTCTTTAGAATGAAATGGGATGGTCAAATGGTTTGGGCCATTGCTTAAAAGAACTTCTTAAAATAATTACTTGAGATGACTACTAACTCTAAGTCATTCCAAGACATTCTATCATTACTTGTTCTTTATATCTAAAAAAAAAAAAAAAAAAAGCACTTGTCTTAGGGTGTCAAGAGGATGTTGAAAAGGAATGATTTGAAATAAATATCATAGTTACAAAATTGCTCTTATTCATATTCCTTGTTATTCTTCCTTCTCTTCATTCACCTCCCCATCTGATTCCCTCCTTTCCCATTTCTTTCTCGATTGTGTCACTATCCAACCCCTTAGGGCCTCATAAAGAGATTAGACAACCAATGTTGTCTCATCGTGCGAACCGTGAGGCCTCTAAAAGATGCCTAAATGGTCGCTTGATGGAGGTTCTCCGAATAGGCAGGGTGCAAATCACATATACTCTTATGATGATGAACTAACAAAATGCATTGAGGAAAAGAGTGACCGACTTGCAAGCAACATGGACAAATATGAGAATGAAGAACCAGACCATAAGGAAGAAAAGTGAAAATTCAAAGGATTCACCGTGATGAGAATGAAGAATCAGACAATAAGGAAGAAGAGATAAATCATAAACAGAGACTTAGAAACAAAGCCCATAATTAGGGGGAAAAAAAGGATTGATCAAACTTAACAAAGGTTCCCAACTTGTTACCAATAAAATGAACTATAGATTCAGTATAATAAGAAATAGGTAAACCAAAAATGTGAGCCCAGTAATGTGATTCATTAAAGGAAGCAAGAGACAAAGAAAAAGAACAAGATCAAGGAAAAACAGAGGAAGTATAACCTTGAAAAAGCCATAAACCTTAATCTAAATAAAGTGTAAATCATATTCAAAATGAAATTAAACAACAAAGAAAGACTCATGATGTTGAACATGTATAAGATCCTTTAGAAGCCAATAAATATCAATCAAAGCTTGAAACTTAGACGCATGAAGAAAATTATTATCTAGAACATGGAAGATCAAAAAGTGCTTATAATAGAGTGAAAGATGAAAACAATCAAAAGACGGGAGGAACATAGTAGAAACAAAACTAAAAGATCAAGTAAATCAAGATTTGAAACGATTAGAGCACAGAGGAAGAACAAGCATGAGCAAGTCACCACCAAAAACAAGCTTAGAAAGAGAATCTCTCCTCCCCTCATGTGGAGGATGCATTCATGAAGGGGTAAAACATTAACCCCCCTCACCTATTTTCCATAAAGTAGTAATCATGTTTCATGTAAAAGCCTAGTTAGTTTGATTAATTTTTAAGTTATTTTGATAGTTAATTTTTAATTCATTGTCATAATTTTTTTTCAATGTTTGGTTACAAAAGCTAAAACAAAAAGAATATAATCATCATCTTTCTTATAAATTTTCAATATCAATGAATTTTATGTAATATCAATTTTTATTACTATTTTTTTAAAAAAATATTCTTACCTAGTTGTGATATAAAAAGAAAAAGCTAGAATAATTTTATAAAATCAAAAAAACTCAAATATTTATTACAATAGAAATTAGTTAGTAAACCTAAAATCAGAAAAACATTATTACAACACATTCTATTTCATTAATCTTATAATAATTTTTAAATAAGTTAAGTAAAGCCATTCCTTCTCCCATAAACTCAAATAATGAAACATTTCATTTGATTCCATTCCTTTCCACTCTACTACATTCCCTTTAATAAATATGTTCTATTCCACTTGATGGTGAGGTGAGTGCAATTTACTTTCACAAAGTCATAAGTTGGAAATGGCATTCTTTTGTTCAACTAAAATACATCTCTTTTCATCCTAAACTCAAGCATTCTCTACTTGTTGGCCATCACATCATCACATCAATTTCCAAAAAAAAAAAAGGAAACTTATGAGTACAAACTATGAAAAGGCCAAGACAACTTATTTCTCAATTGTGTCACTTAAATAGGAGGAAACCTCTTAAACTATCCAATAGTTACCCACCTCTTTCACATCCTTTTTCAGATGATTTAGTGTTATTTGCAGAGGCTTCAGTGGAACATATGAAAGTCATTAAAGAGGCATGGGGACATAAAATTTGGCTAAGTCTAAGCTTTTTGTCTCTTATAATGTCAACTTCCATAGGGCTATGGAATTTAGCCATATCTTGGGTGTCGGATTAATCCCTGATCTAGGGAAGTATCTCAATGTACCTCTCTTCCATAAATAGACTACCAAAGCTACTTTTGCTCCGCTTATTGCTAAAGTTAGGCAACATCTTTCAAGATAGAAAAGGAATTACTTTAACATGGTGTGTAAATCTGTTCTGATCAAATCGATTATCTCTATTATTCCAACCTACACTATGCAATCTATGTTGGATAGAGAGGCGCAGTGGAAAATTAAAATTTTAAAGTCCCTATCCTAATATGAATCGAATGAACTCATTTAAGTCAAGGTGGATAGAAGAGTTATCTTTTAATTTTTTAAAGTTGGCACACATTTGGATCTCAGAAACTAACAACGTAGATCTGCTCCCTCTACGAGTATCCACACAAACAGCTCTCTAACTCAAACAGCGTGCTAGCGCTCTCAGCGTCCGTTTTTCTTTGAACATTAATTTTTCTTTCTACAAGATGTTTCGTGACTCTCAAAGTATTTTTGCCGTCAAAACTTTTCTAACTCTCTCATCTTCATAAGGATATCCCTATCTATATATAGTATATAGATAACGGTTTTCATCTTTCATTTAAAAGCTCACAAAATTTAATTAAATTTAGCGCAGAAAAATCCATAATAATATATCTAATTCAAAATTATCTTATAAATTCAAATTATAAAATTGACATGATGTTCTCTCTTAGCATGTTAGTTATTAAATTAATCTATCATATAAAATTAAATTTAAAAGAACATAACATAACATAATAAATATATATTATATCATATATAGCAGATATACATATTATATTATATATATATATATGAATAAATATATACATAGATATTTTGAATATATATATTATATTATCTATATTTAATTTTATATATCATATACATATATCATACATACATATATATATATATATATATGATACACCACACACACACACATATAGGATATATATATTTTGAAAATACACACACACACACACACATATATAATTATATTTTATATTTTATATTTCATATAAATATATATATATATATAATCAAATAAATATATATATATATATATAATTCATTCATCCTATATTACATTTATTGAATCTAGATATATTTTAAATTCAATAAATTTGGATATTATAGCTCGAGTTGGGCTGTTCTTGTGTACGACTTTATAGGCCTATATGAAACTGACAGTAGGCTAATTATGCTATTAGCCCACAAGTCATAAGTGGCCTCTAGCAAGACATTACAACTATCCAATTCATATGAGAATTGATGATCTAATGTAACCTATCATGCAACCATATCACATCCCTTTTGTCATGCGATATTTCGATCAAGTACGAGATATGAAATTGTCATTCTCCTTTACCTAACCATTATTTTCTCTATCTCTGAGTAGACTGACAGTAGCAATGAAAAAACCTTTTCATTATAGTATAGCCATATATTTTCTTAGTCTTACTTATCGAGGGCCTAGTAATATCTCTCACTTAATGTGAGGGATAAATTCTATTTTGACCACTCATATTCCTTTACAGGAATATCACTAAACTCAATCATAGCCGTTATGATCACCCAATAAAAGGTGACTTTTGACTAGGTCAAAGTTCAGTGGTCATCATGTAGGAATCCATGATGATCTCAAGTCAAAGGGCTTAGTGATATAGTTACATATGAGATAAGTTTATGACTTGTATCATGTAACTTTCTCATAGCGAGTCGGTCCAGCACCTTGTACTCTTTCAAGTGCCTATGATTTTAATTTGTATCTCTATAATTAATCAAAGTCATACTAGTCTTGTTTCATCTATGATCCCTCAAAGATGACCGACCAGGGACATTTAAGGCCATTACTATAGTTTGTCAGAGTACAGTTATCATA